AATAAAATGCACATTATTACAAATTTAACAAGAGCCCACTTAATATATTTTTTCCTAATTGATTATCGTATATTTAAGGTCAAAATTTAGTCAAATTTGACATTCAGATCAGACCATACCAAATAAGTTCAGATAAGCAAAAATAAGGTGACTTAAACAAGCCCTAAGTTCGATATACTACCTCCGGTCCAAATTGCTCGCAACTTTGTGGTATTATTTGTGAGATATAAAATATTCCAAAGTTGCGATTAATTTGGACCGAAAGTAGTATTAAAAGTCAAGCTCCAGATTTAAGCTTGCTTCTATGGAGCCTCAATAGAGAAATAAACCATTAATGTACCAAAAGAAATTTAGAACCGTAATTTGAATGTTCTGCTTTTTGTCGGAGCAATTTCTTGTTTGATAGTGTTGGGGAATTCCAGAATTGAAGAAATCATTCAACTGATAAACTTATCAGACCTGAATTCACAGTCAGCTTACATCCTGTGAGAGTCTCTTTTCACAAGGCCCTTAATCAAATGGAGTCTCACTTCCTACTAACTTACTAAGCAAAGAAAATTCAGACAACCAGCTTGTGTTTTTGCTAGGAAAGCCAACAGCATCATATATGTATTAAAAAATCATAAGCATGCAAAAGAGGAAAACTGGATCAACTATTGGAAGCATAAAAATTTAAATGTAAGATCATTCATACTCCATTAGATCAAGCTGACATATTTCCATAACAAAAAGTCTCACTAGAGTTAGATGTCTAAGGAAACAATAGCAAGATCATTCATACATCCATTTCCAACTATTTGAGAACATCTCCAGCAACAATAGTAACCCATCAGAAGAAAGACGGGGCAACTGGTCCTTTAGAAAGGCCTAGACGAACTTCCATGCCATGATGCATGTCTGGAACTCGGAGGGATTCTGAATCACGTGGATCTGCAACAGAACAAGATATGAGACCAACAAATAGCTCAAACTATTAATTCTCATACTAATATGCTATCGATTTGTAGTGAATGTACTGTGATCAAAGATCAAGCAGGTGGGTACCTCAGTAATAACATATAAAAACCAGAGTGTAGTTAAAAGTTGCAAAGAATATCAGTTGCATCCAAAGTACAAAGAGGAAAATCAATGTAAATACTTAAACTCTATTGGTTCTGCCAACTATATCGTGGTTTGGGCAAATAAGAGAAGCACATATTTTGTTAAAACAATTAAAGTTGCGTGTTTTTATTACCGTTCAGATAATCTTCAAAACCAATATCATCTAACGTTCCTGTCACTGCCTCCAACCCTAGCATAGAGGATGATATTGGTCCAGGAGGCCTCTGGAACCTGCAAAACAATAAGGAATTGCATGATCAGCTGAACTCAGATCACTTTCCTACCAGATCCCTTTTTTAGCACATGCAAGTCAAAGACTAGCAACAAAAGCTCATATACTATGTATTAGTGAAGCATGTGCCAACAGCATAGAAAACAAAGTAAAAGAAAAATGGTAAGTCAGATTGGAGTCACAATAATGCTTAGCACTACAGTTGGTACATTTTTTCACAAATTATATGACACTTGTTTAAGATAGGTATTTGTCCAGAATTAAAGACCAGTAAAACATAGGAACATCATGAACAACCTAGCATGGAAATAGAAAGGTCTAAGAATATACAACTTACCTAATTGATGATGGGTCTCTACAGACATGCAAGACATAGCCCAAGAGATAAATACAATAGATATCGATAAGCAACACATGAATATGCTGCCCCAACCCACGGGTATTAAAACAGAAAATTTGGGAGTGATGTGATCATGAAATTCAGAGTAAATTGTAAGTTAAAACAGTATGCTTCAGTGCTTCCTATTCTCTATACATATAAAAATTATAATTCAAACTTCAGACCTTACTAGCAAAATGATACCAATTAGAGTGCAAACCATCAAAGAAACCACTCCAAATATTTAGCCAATGTTCGGCTCAAATGACTGAAAAAACAATTAGAATCCAGCTTATACGCTTGGGCAACTAAAATTTGAAAAAAATAAAATGGAGCATCAGAAAGAAACTACTCCAATATTCAACCAATGTTCGGCTCATGCTCTTTTTCCTCACAATAGAGGGAGCAATAGTCCTAGACCAAGCAATAATTTCTCCAAAGCTAGTCCCTTTAATGAGTACCCAATGTCAACTACTTACATATTAGTCTTTAGAAAATCTCATACTAGTAACATCTGTAGATTGATATTACTAAAAATTGTTTCAAACAAGTTTTTTTTTTATTAACTATTAGCAACTTGGCTCAAAACACACTTACAGAACTTTAAACCCTCATCTTCTCTCTCAACACCTACCAAAGATACATAGACTTCTAATCTAACCTTCCTGGCACTGATAGCAAACCCAAAAGAAACAGTGGTAATCCCAACAAGCATACTCGTACTTTATTAGCTGCGATCTTCACTCTCCAATTTCCATTTTCCAACTCAGATATTTCCATTCATAAGGCATAATCACCTCACCAGTCATGATAGATCAGCTGAAATGTCATAGTTCTAGCCTTTCAAGTTTTAACCTTAATATACCACATCCGAACCCACAGTTTAGCCTTTAACAATAATCTGCTTAACACTACCTCATAAAGCTGTTGCAGATTCACTTGCAGGTCTAAACCCAACAGCAGTAACCAAGACATTCACATAATTTCACAACATTTCTTATTAATTAATTCCTAACTAGCGAAACTGATCAAAAACCCTGCTTCAATCCCACAAATCCACCCGAAAACCCCATCACATAAATCCATCAATCACTAATTCAGTCTTTAAGTAGATGCCCACAATCCTTAGTTAAGCAAAATGAACAAATTCAACATCTTAACGCCCGAAATTCATATAAATTAGGGTTTTTCACAAATTCAATTTACAACAATCACAAAACCAGAAATTGAATCGCATTAAAAACAATAAAATCAATAGAAAAAATTAATAGAAAACTAATCAGAAGAAAACCTAGAAAGAATTTGTCGATCGAGGTCCATCTTAAGCGGAAGAGCGGAACCATAAGTGTTAGCAAGAATCTTCCTCTTCATCTCTTGCTGAGTTTTCTCCGCCTAAATCGATGAAATAATCATCAATAACAGAAGAGAGAGAAAGATAGATGAAAATGAAGAGAGAGAAAATTGTACTTTAAGAACAGCAGATTGTAGAGGATGAGCTTCGAGAATCTCGCTCTTGACGCCATGGAAACCGAATCGAAGAGCATCGTTGTGGATTCCTCCAATTTGATGTGGAATGACCTTTGTTCCTTCCTCCATTGTTGAACTTCTTCAATTAGCTCGAGTTTTTTCTGTGTTGTTGTTCTGTGTAAGTGAGATGCATAAATTGATTGCTTTTATTTTGTGCTTTATGTTGCTTTTTAGTTTTGGGCCGCCTTGTTGTACAAGAAATTGTGATTTGTGACACTCCTTTTTGTTGCAAATTATAATATGCACCCTTGTGCATAGGGGTGAAAGTTCGGTTTTCGGTTTGGTTTTTTGCCCAAACCGAAACCAAACCACCAAATTTCGGTTTCTTGATTTTGCAAACCACACCGCACCACTTTAGCTTTGAAACCGAACCAAACCAAACCACCTAAATTTCGGTTTTCCTAAAAAAAACCAAACCGCACCGAATTTTCCTCTCAAGCATCCTAAACATCACATTTTGCAAAAAAACCGAACCAAACCACACCAATTAAAATTGAACCAAACCAAACCATACAAACATCCCACCTAAAACCCACCTACCACCCACCCTAACCTACCAAAAAACACCGAAACTACCACCACTAACCACCCACAACAATGCCCACTAACCACCACTAACCACCCATAGAAACTATCACCACTACCACCCACAACAACCACCAAAAACCACCTTATCACCACCCCTAACCCAGATCCGCACCCACCACAACCCACAACCCACCTTATTTCACCACCCTTCATCCTTTCCACCCAAACACTAACCCTAGATCGACCCACAACTACCTATCACCACCGCAATTCAATCTACACGGCTACGCCACCATAAAAATAAAGTAGGAAAAAAAATTCAAATCAAATTAAAATTAAGAAAAAGAGGACATACCTCACATTCCACCGAAAAACCTCGAATTTGGGTTTTAAAGGTCAAGTTCGACCATGAAAACACTAGATCTAGTGTTTTCATGGATGAATTTGACATGAAAAACCTTAGCTACTCAGTTGATGGCTTAATAACGTTGTAAATAAACTTAATAACGTTGGAAAAGAGGAGAACAGAGTGATGGAGAAGAGATCAAAGAGGAGAAAGAAAGGACGGAGTTGAGAAGAGGAAAGGAGGGAGAGGAAGAACTAAGATTCTGAGAAGAGAAGAGAGGAGAGAAAGGGCGGAGAGGTGAGATCAGGAGAAGAAGAGGAAGTGAGGGATTAGGGTTTTTTTTTTTCCTTTATATACTTAGGGTAAAAGTGTTGGGCTAGGGGGCTTTTGGGCCTGAAATTTCGGTTCTGTTCGGTTTTGTTCGGTTTTTTCGGTTTTTCAATTTCTAAAACCGAAACCAAACCGAAAACCGAAATATTTTTTTTTTTCAAAACCAAACCGAACCACTTTCGAAAAAAAACCGAACCATATTTCTTATTCGGTTCGGTTTTCGGTTTGGTTCGGTTTTAACCCAAATTTGTTTCACCCCTACTTGTGCATATAGTTTTGTGTGCACCACCAATTACACGCTGCCATGTAGCTTCTTCTTTTCGAGCTGAAGTTTCTTATTTTGCAATTATTTCCCGCGTTTCTTTCCTTTTTCAATTCCTTCCTAATTTCTCAAATTTTTCTTTTCAATTATCATTCAAAAATCTTCTTTCGTCGATTTTCTTTCTCCTCTAGTTTTCTCTCATCAATTTTTTCTCTCCTTTACTTTCTCTCTCCGTTTATTTCAGTGCTCTATTCACCATTTTTTATTGCTCTATTCTTCATTGTTTTTCTTCGCCATGGATTTGATTCATGTACCTGAAGTTCTTGATATTGGAGGTTAGATTTCTTATTTTAATTGATAATATTCGTTAATTAGGTATTTCCAATGTAATTTTTTATTACTTTTTAATTATTGATAATTATTTGAATTTTTAATTATCGTTTGATTTGAACTCATTCTATAATTAAGTTTTATTTAGTTGCTAAAATTTGATATGACATTGTGATTTTCTGAATTTGATTTTTGATTTTCTTGAAATTTGAAGTTTAATATGATTCTGAACATTGCATAATATGATTTTTGATTAATTGATTAAGTAATCAAACTATTGATCTATTTCTTTTAATCTTCTTGAATTTTTGAAGAGATTTTGATTAATATGATTATGCAATAGTATTTTGTTAATTTGTGATGAATTTGATCATTTGTTTATTAAACTGTTCATGAATTCTTGATTCTGAACATTCGCATCTTTTGATTTCTTGTTGAACAATTTATGTCGAGAATTTGATAGATATACTTAAATTTTAGTTCAAAGTGTTTTGAATTTGATTTCTGTATCCGAAGTTTAATATGATTCTGAACATTGCATAATATTTAGGTTTAATTAGTTGTATTTTTAAATTGATTTAGATTTCTTATTGTTTTTTATTAATTTGTGATGAATTTGATCATTTGTTGATGAAATTTATGAATATTATTTGTTTATAATTCGATTAGTCATATTATTAGTAGTTTTACAATATTATGAACACTGTTATTATACTTTTGAACCTTTATGTTATTTTATTGAACTTTTGATCATGTATGTTTATAAATATAGGAATGTACAAGTAATTATGAACATCGTATCCCTTTATTTGGACTCTCTTGTTTTATTTTTGAACTTTAATAATGTTTGTTATGCATTTTGTTTGTTTATTGCAGTTTATAAGTATGAAGTTGTTTATAAGGAAAGTGAGAAGTCTGAATTGCAGTGGAAACAAGTCAAAAGTGATACGGAGGCATATGAAATGTATAATGATTATGCATTTAGGCATGGATTTAGTATTAGGAAAGGGAAAGTTCGATATGTTGGTAATTCAAGTGTTTGGAGAGGTAGAAACAACCTATATTCAAATGTTGGTTTGAAAGATACTTCTTCTAAGGTGCCTAAGAAGTTTTCTAAGTTGGATTGCCGTACATGTTGTGAAGCTTACATTGATTTTGTTATTGATGAGAAAGGTGTTTGGACTGCTGTTAAACACAATATGGATCACAATCATGCTATGATACCTGTTGAGAAGAGACATCTCCTTAGGTCTCAAAGGAAAATTCAAGGTGAGCATTTGAAGTTCATAAGTACTATAAAGGCTAGTGGGGTTAGGGTTACGGATTCTCTTCGCGCTTTAAGGAAAGAAGTTGGTGGATCTCCTAATCTATGCTACACTGTTACTGATGTTTACAACACTTTAGCTACTGAAAAAGCTTGCAGATTAGAAGGTGGTGATTGTAATGCTTTGATCCAGTCTTTTGCTACAAGACAAGCCAAAGAGAGTGACTTTTATTATGAGTTTGAGGTCGGTGGAAATCATGCCCTTTGTAGTGTATTTTGTAGGGATGGAAGAATGCGAAGGGATTATGAAGCTTTTGGTGATTTGATGGTCTTCGATACCACCTATAGAACTAACAAATATGGCATGATTTGTGCCCCTTTTGTTGGTATGAATCATCATTGCAATAATGTCATGTTTGGAATGGGTTTTGTTCTTGATGAAAAGACCAGCAGTTTTGTATGGTTGTTTGAGGCTTTTATGAGATCTATGGGAAGATGTCGAGACCCCATAACCTTAATGACTGATCAAGCCCCTTCAATTGCTGCAGCAATTCGACAAATTTTTCCAAGCACTCGGCACCGTTTGTGCACTTGGCACCTTGGTGAGAACGAATACAAAGACCAATATAGGAGGACTCAGAATATTGAAAGGGTTTCCAGAAGTATTCGATTATTTTCTTAAGTACTGTGAAAGTCCTGCTGAATTCGCACATTACTGCCAAGGTAAGCTTTTTTTAATTTTATTTGAACCTTTTAGTTTATATTTTGAACTGTTTCTGTTTGAAATCTGAACTATTACATTTACATATTTGCGGACTTAATTTTATTGAATTTAACTTGATTTGTTTCTTTTTGAACATTAATGTTATATATTTGAATTAAATGTATTAAGTTTTGAACCTTTCTTTATATATGAACTATTAATTATTTAATTTCAACATTTTTACTTTTCATGTTTAACAAGTGCATGTGAACAGTATTATTTATGTTTTGAACTTTTGTTGCTGTAATTTGAACAACTATATTATCATTTTGTTTATTGGTTTGTTGTTTTTTGTTTTTGATAGAATGATGACAAAATAAAAGTGTTCAGAAAATAATTGGTTAAATCACTTGTATGATATCAAAGAAAAATGGTGTCCTGCTTATTCAAAGGATTATTTTTCGGGCGGAGTTTTGTCATCCCATAGGAGTGAAACAACAAATCATTATGTTTCCAATAGATTGAATAAAACAGATGGTTTGAGTGACTTTTATAGTACTTTTCTTGATGTTATATAAGAGTGGAGGAGTAAAGAAAGTAAGCAAGATTTCCGTTTTTTGACGGGTAACCGTCATCTTGCAGTAGCTAATGTTCGTTTGCTCATACACTCTAGGGAGATTTATACTATTTCTGTGTATGTTGTTTTTGAGGATCAATTTGCAAAAGACATTTAATGTTGTCAAGAGCGAAAGCATTAAGATGATGAGACTATTTGTTATTATGTTTGGAGGAAAAATGAGGACATTATAAGGCATGAAGTTACTTATGAGAAATTTACCTTCAACATCAATTGCACATGTAAGTATTGGAGTTAAATGGGGTTGTTATGTGGACACTCTCTTCGTATATGTAATATTCATTGTGTTCAAAAGATACCAGAACAGTACATAGTGAAGAGGTGGACTAAGAAGGCTATGTGTAGTCATGTTTCTGATGAAGATACATGTCAAGATGTTAAAGTTGTTCCTTCTACTGTTTGGAGAGTTCAAATGGTTAGGAAGTATGTTCAGTTAGTAACATCATGTCAAGAAGATATTTTAGCAAGAACTGAAGCTGAGTATACTTTTCAAATGTTACGTGAAAAGGTGGAAAGTGTGCTAGGTCCAATTGATATTGAAGATGTTGAAGTTGGTGAAGAAGCTAATGAAGAAGTTGATGAAGAAGGGTTCATAAACAATCCAAAAATAGCTAGGAAAAAGGGTGAGAGAAACTACAGGCCAAAAAGTACTGTTGAGAAAGCGTGTAATAAAGGTAAGGGTTGGAAAAAGAAAGTAGATAAATATAAAGATGAAGCCAGAGCTACTGTCCAAAAATTGGTTGTTGAGGTACTTTTGAACCCCTGTTCTATTTATCTGAACTTCTGTCATTTTTTATTGAATAACTTATAATTTTATTTTATTTGCGGGTTTTAGATGATGATGGAGATCCTTTGATTTATTCACATCCAACAACACAAGGTTCAAATCTTTCTGTTCTTCCAAAGAGAAAGAATGTTCAAAGTAAAAATAGTAAAGCTTCAACCAATGCTTCTCATTCATCATCAGCAAATGTAAGTATTTGTTGAACATTTCAATTGTTTTTTTTAATAATTTTCTATTATATATGTTTAATTTCATTTTTATTTTTAGGTTTTTGGTGATGGTGTTAGAACTGGTTTCCAAGCTTCAAATGGAAAAGGATTCAAAAATAGTAACACTTCAACTAAATCTACTCAGCAATCTTCATCTAATGTAATTATTTTTCTTTTTTTTTTTGCACTTTATTGTTTTACTTTTGAACTTGTTAATTTTGTAGGTTTTTAAAGGTCAATCATCCAACAATTTTCCTAGACCTAATTATTCTCAGCCATGCTCATCAAAAGCTTCAAATACTTTTTCAACAACTAATGTTCAGCCTTCCTCTGAAAATTTCTCAAGTGCTTCTCATCCACCTTTTTCAAATGTAATTTTTTTATTGAACTTTTTTAAGTTTTTCTTGAATTTGTGTTTTTAAATTCTGAACTAACTTGGATTTTTCTTTAGGTTTTTGGTCATCAAGCTTCAGAAAATTCTTCTCAGCCATCCTCATCAAAAGCTTCAAATTCTTTTTCAACAACTAAGCCACCATTATCAAACGTAATTTTTTTACTGAACTATTTTTGGTTTGTTTTGAACTTTTGTGTTTATATTCTGAACTATTTTGAATTTTCTATAGGTTTTTGCTCATCAAGCTTCAACTAACTTTCTAGCGACTGTTTCTCAGTCTTCTTCAAGAAATGTATCTTTTTATTGATTTTTCTTTTATATATTTTGAACTTCTGTATTTTATTTCTGATCTTTTGATAATTTTGTAGGTTTTTGAAGGACAATCATCCAATAATATTCCAGGACCTAATTCTTTTCAGCCGTCCTCATCAAAAGCTTCAAATACATTTCCAAGAACTAATACCCAGTCTTCCTCTGTAAATTTAACCTCTTTAGTCTTAACATTTTTGACATTTTTTAAAAATAATTTATTAGTATATATATTTTTATGTATATACTATATGTTTTGTAGGTATGTGGATCTCAAGCTAAAAATATAAAATCTTTCTCAAGAGCTACTCAGCCACCTTTATCAAATGTAATTATTATATTGAATTGTTTAATTTTTTTTATTTTGAACTTCTAATTTTAAATTATGAATTAATCTTAATTTTCTGTAGGTTATTGGTCATCAATCTTCAACTTACTTTCCATCAACTGGTTCTCAGTCTTCTACAAGACATGTAACTTTTTCACTTAACTTTTGTAGATTTATTTTGAACTTCTTATACTATAATCTGAACTTTTAATTTTTGTTAGGTTTCAAGTGGTTGTCAAGGTAAAAAAAGGAAATCATCTGAAGTGAGTCATAACAAAGGTTTTCGATATGAGACTAGTAAATGGTTTCAAGTAAGTATGGACATTCTCTTTCTCTATTCTGAATATTTTTGTTTTTTTTTTTTTTTTTTTTTTTTTTTTTTTTTTTTTTTTTTAGTATTGTTCTTTGAATTTTTGTGTTTTTAGTATTTTGATGCTGGTCGCAAAGCAAGGAATGAAGGGTCTCGTTGTGTTGGATCTTCTAATGTTTCAAATTATGATAAAATGTTATCAATGTTTGACAAGACAAGTAATTCTTAGGTGCTTATTATATATGAATATATTTTCATAGGTTTTCAATATGTAACAAAATTCAAATTCTTATTAATTTTCAATATATACGAATATTTTTATCATTACTTTTAAATTGTTTGTTATTTTTTTTTATTAGACAAAAAAAATATTGACAAACATATTTTATAAAATGAACAACTACACTTCAATATTTGAACATAATCTTAATATCAACAACTACACTACAAATATTACATATTTAAGTCAATCTCAATTCAAACTAAAAATTCAAACACATTAAATAAAATCACAGTTTCTTGAAATGTCATTAAATCTAAATATTAATTCTCCTCAATTCTTTTTCTTGCTGCCATTTCATTCTGTACCCTTCTCTATTGGTGAGGCTTAAAATTATTTCTGAATAATACTGCACCCTAAGCTTTCTGATTTGATCAACTTGAACATGTAAAGAAAACATATAATTATGAACAAAGTATTAAATGTTTTGAACAAATAAAGAAAACATATGAACACTATTGTTGAAACTCACATCATTTGCTTTAAAATCACAATTCCATTCTAGCAAAGGCTCTGTTGTGTATGTTTCCATATGTTTCATCACTTAAACACCACAATTCTTATGAACCAAATTGATTCTCCATTTTATCTTGATCAAGTCAGTTTTGAAACTTAAGACTCTTGCAACATCACTTCCCGCATTTTTTTATCGCATGAAATATGCAAAAGCCTCTAGCTGATAAACAAAATGAAACATTATTTGAACACCTGAACACAATTTACTGAACACAGCTTAAGAATAAATTGAATAAAAAAAAATTAGTACTTTACCATCTTTTGTGGATGATCTTCATACTTTGTAGATGCTTTCACATTCATTGGAAGCTTTCTGTTATCGATCAAATCAATTGTGCCTTTGTACATGTTGATACACATCAAGTAGATGTGCTTATATGCAGCCACTGGAAACAAGAATTCCCTAAATTTTTTTATGTTTTGAATTCCACTATTATTCATTTCATAGCGCAATCTTTGTGCAAACTTCTCATGTCTTATTTCTGTGGTAGTGTTTGCACTTGCACCTTTGTCTGTGCATACAATCAACTGCAATTAACAATTCAAAATAATGAGCAGTCATTATAAACATAATGAACATTGAAAAAAATATACTGAACAAGTTACATAAAATTATTGAACATGTTTATTTGAGAATATTTAATATTTATTTTCTTACGTATGGCATTGTGGAGAAGTATATGCTATTTTTTTTGCCCTTGATGTTCAAGATATGAGCCCAAGCATCAATAATTGATGTATTGATCTCTGCATCTGTTCCAAGTGTCTTCATTTCTTCCATGTTGACACTATTATCTCCGTTACGGTACAACACCTCACTGCCAATACAACGAAAAAAATTAACAAAATTAAATTAAGATTTATTTTATTATTTGAACTATATAAATATTTATCTGAACAAATCTAATGAATTTATTAACAATAGAGTTAAATTAGAAAACTTACTCATTAGGCCCATCACTGAATGCATAATCAGACAAAGTTGCATACATTGCACTAACATTTTTGAACAAATCTTTGTATTTCATCATGAATGGGGACTTTAGACTAGCTGACAATTTTATCTCTTCTCTTCTTGGTCTTTTGTTTGCATTAACATCCTGTTTTGTTGTTGGTCTAATATAACAATATAAAAGTATGGTTAGTTTTTTTGAACTACATATTTATGTAACTGAACTTTATATCTATTTTTAATGAACATTAACATATATATATATATATATATATATATATATATATATATATATATATATATTATACAGTTACCCCTTTGATTTTTCAGAAACTTTGTTTTGTTTTCCTGCTTCCTCTTTAGATCTGTACATTTGAACATACAGTTAAAACATTTGAGCATCTAAAACAAAATATTTGAACATAAAAAATTAATATAGTCTTATATCATTCAATACTTAATAAAACATATATATTTGTAGTTGTTCTAGATCTGATTTCATTTAACATATTTATGCTGACTTTTTCAGCTTCTAACCTAGTTGTCCAAAAAATTACAAATTACCCTTTTCTTCCAAAAAGTTACACATTACTTCCAAAATATTTACATATCATCTTCTTTTTCCTTTATACCCTATTGCCCAAAAAACTACATATATTAGTGATGTTCAGATAGAATGACATTACCCTTGGTGATACTAAAAATCCTTCGAAAATGGGTTGGCCAAAATATCATCAAGTGTTGCATCACTGGTTCCAGATATGTTGGAATACTCACTAGTATCAAATATGTATTCAAAATCTAGATCCGACGATTTTGCAGCTCCACCAGTTTCTCCCATTTGAAAAGGCACCTCCACTGCCATTGATGTTCCACCACTTTCTTCCACTTCTTGTTCATGACCTTTCTCTCTGCTACCTATGGTAAGTGTTAGATCAAGGGTACGTCTCCCAGCAATAGCACCTTATTCCCTCTGATTTCCACTTTCACCCCTTTCCATAGGACCCACACTTGC